GTAAACGTTGTGTAAACGCATAGAAGGAACACATCCTCCTCTCCCCCCCAGTATTCGTTTCCGTTTGAGTCCGAGGAATAGAAAAGACATATCTTGATTCTGACACAATACTCATGGGTTTCCCAGGACTGATCAACTGAAACCCGCGCTTGCGCGGAGAAAATTGTACTATTGTTGTTTACATGATAGGAAATGCTGAACTCTGTAACAGGTTTGTTTTTCTGAAGTTTAAGACGTAATGTTAGGTGAGCTTGGGACGGAAAAATATCCTGCCCAGCTGGAGCAGGAATATAACAAAAACCTGTCCAACATATGTATTCTATACCCAGCTGGAGCAGGAGTATTACAAAAACCTGTCCAACATGTGCATTCTACAGAAGTTGTTAACATGATAACGTTCCCTATTACCTAATATTTTGTTTTCCAAGTTTAGCATGAAGGGAATATACACATGCAAGAGATTCTATTTTAGAATGAACTTTAGACGTTCTCTTACTGCCCCCTACCGATGACCACAATTAAATTCTGAATTATTTACTAGACGCTTAGAAATAAGCAGAATGTGTCTTTAGTTTGCGAACTGTAAAATGATCGATGTTTGTGTTTTGTTTAGTAATTTGTGCACAAAGCTACACAAGGACTACCTGCCCTTAGCCCCCCTCTAAACCACACCCATTCACCAACCCATTTTGTCTGTTCCAATAATGAGAATTGATTTTACGTATTTGACTGACCCAACCGTGGATCTCCTCAGATATAAAGTCCTAGTACGTTAAACAGTAGGACACCACCGGTATTGAAACCCTATGTTTGGCAGTATAAGCCCTCGGACTCGCTGCTGATCCACTGGGGAGCGGAAAGGAGATATGCTTAATATTATATAATCTAGCTTACCACATGACTCGTCTTTATCAGAATAGGATAAACCATGTATCTCGTAATTATCTACCTTTTTTTTTTTATTTAATCGGCCCTCTCGTTTAAGCCCACATTTTAAACAAAAACATATTAATCACGATAAATATCGCTACTGTTTAGTTAACCCTCAGGCTCAGATCACGTGCAACTATTAACCCTCAGGCTTAGATCACGTGCAACTATTAAACTTCTATTCAGCCATCTGGTGGTCACAGTCAGCAGCTCTTGTTTTAAAAATAAGACTATTGACACCAGTATTGACCTACCCTTGACCTCTTGTTGAATGAATCCTTCATATGACAATGTTTTCCGAGCTGGAGGGTACGAACGCCCTCTGCCTCCTTTTTTTTTTAAATTTCCCATTGTCTTTGCTAAATCAAGTATATGTTGTTAGGTAGTTAGGGCAAGACTCAAGATACAGCTACAGTATACAATAATAAGATTAATTACTGTAAGCCAGAGATCTAAAAATGTTTCTTATTCCCCTCCCCCTAATCCCTCACCATTTAATACTAAGTTTGGGATCGGTTGCAGTGCAGATGTGTTCAGAAATGGTCATTGCTCGATAACTTGGATACCATCCCAAATTTTATGTACATTTTGATTAGAATGATGGAATTGGACACGGAATTTGAGGGCTGTGGCTCACAATACGCACTAGTTATCATACAAAGGAAAACGAACTTCGGTAAATTTAAAGATGTTTCATCCGATCGCTCCAACTGGTTTGAGGCTTTCTTCAGAAGATGTAAAACGATTTCAATTAGCGATATCGAAGAATAGAACATACATTATTATAGCCAATAGTAGAACATAGATTATTATAGCCAGTAGTAGAACATAGATTATTATAGCCAACAGTAGAACATAGATTATTATAGCCAATAGTAGAACATAGATTATTATAGCCAATAGTAGAACATAGATTATTATAGCCAAGTAGTAGAACATAGATTATTATAGCCAGTAGTAGAACATAGATTATTATAGCCAACAGTAGAACATAGATTATTATAGTCAATAGTAGAACATACATTATTATAGTCAATAGTAGAACATAGATTATTATAGCCAGTAGTAGAACATAGATTATTATAGCC